AAACACAAGCTATAGGAACTCCTCTCCGGCTTCAGTCTAGCTTTGCCCTGGGGTTGGGGGTTGGGGCGGGGGCTGGTGGGAGAAGTGAGGCTGTCCCATCCGTCCCCTCATATCCCACTAGACAGACCTACTGCTTAGCAAAGGTTACGCAGTCTCCTCCCTGTCCTCCAACCCCAGTGATTGGCTCACCTAATGCTGCTGATCTTGCGGGGGTGGCAGGGAGCCTTCCTGCCCCTGTTCAGTTTCACTGTGTTTCCATCACCATTGCACCTGGACCTGGAATGTGAGCCACCTGGTGTGGGCCCTGTTTCCTTAACTTGATGACCCATGCACATGGCCAGTTACGATTTTATTTTATTTTGTTTTATTTTATTTTATTTATTTTATTGGAGTGACATTGGTCAACATGAACATATAGATTTAATGTGTGGATTTCTAAGTTACAAAATCTGTATATAACACCATGTGCCCACTTCCCAAAGTCAACTTCTCCTGTCACCTTATATTAGGACCTCCTTCTTCCTCTAGTCCCCTCCCTCTGGCAGCCACTAAACTGCTGTTTGTGCTCATAAGTTTCAGTTTTATATCTCACACATGAGTGAAATCATATGGTTCTTACCTTTTTCTGTCTGACTTATTTCATTTAGCATAACGTTCTCAAGGCCCATCCATGTTGTTGTAAATGACAGGGAGGAAAAGGCAAAAATAAATGAATGGGACTACTGGTATGTTAAAATGAAGAGCTTCTGCACAGCAAAAGAAACGACAACAAAACAAACAGGCAGCCAACCATACGGGGAGATGATAGTTGCAAACAGTAGCTCCGACAAAGGTTTAATTTCCAAAATATATAAAGAACTAGTAAAACTTGACACCAAACAAATAAACAATCCAATCAAAAAATGAAAATACACCTCTCTAAAGAAGACATATAAACAGCCAATAGATATTTGAAAAGATGTTCAATCTCACTGGCAATCAGGGAAATGCAAATTAGAACTATAATGAGATACGACCTTACACCTGTCAGAGTGGCCATTATCAAAAAGACAAGCAACAACAAGTGTTGGAGAGGGTATGGAGGAAAAGGAACCCTCATTCACTGCTGGTGGGAATGTAGACTGGTACAGCCACCATGGAAAGCAATCTGATGATTCCTCAAAAAATTTAGAGCTACCATACGACCCAGCAACTGCACTCCTGGGTATATACCTGAAAAACTCAAAATCATTTATACACAAAGATATGTGCACCCCTATGTTCACTGCATTATTCACAGTGCCCAAGACATGGAAACAACCAAAGTGCCCTGCAATAGAGGATGGATAAAAAGATGTACATATACACAATGTAATACTACTCAGTCACAAGAAGGGCCATTTATTTTCATTTCCACACCTCTGTTAACATATTTGCTATTCCCTTAAATAATACAATTCTTTCTTGATCTTTATCTAAGTCAGTTGTTCTCAACCTTGCTAATGCTGCGACCCTTTAATATAGTTCCTCATGTTGTGGTGACCCCCAATTTCATTGTTACAAATTGAACATAATTAAAGCATAGTGATTAATCACAAAAACAATATGTAATTATATATGTGTTTTCCGATGGTCTTAGGTGACCCCTGTGAAAGAGTCATTCGACCCCCAAAGGGGTCGCTACCCACATGGTTGAGAACCGCTGATCTAAGTCATTGCTGGAAATGAGGCCTGACCTCGGGGACAGAAAGGCTGTGAAAGTGATTTGCATTAACTTTGTTCATCAGGTTGCTCGGGTTTCTCTCTGGACAAAAGAGTATTAATGTCCAGACAATCTGCTGTCCTCAACCAGGGCAGCCTGGCCACCTCTGATTCTAGATTTCTGAGAGTCCACCTTCTTGCTCCTCTGAGGCTTTGTCTCAGGGCACGGCACTGTCCCTCTGCAATTGATTAGCCTGTTAGCGTTCCACAGGCCCTTCCGTGACAGGGCTAGTTAATCGGGAGTTGTTTGCTTCCTGTAGCTCTTTTGAGGCACATCTTATTTCCCCGCTAACCCCCCAGTGGTTTCTGAAACCCAACCCCTATCTGGATCAGGTCACAGAAATGAGAACAACTGTACTTTATTTTTCCCAGTCTTCAGGCCATTTTAAAGAAAAACGCAAGTCTGATATGAAGTGTGGGACAGATGTAAGTCTTTTATTTTCCAACAGACTTACAATATGAGCTGCACCTAGACATAAATGGATGCCTGTCCAGAATACATAGTTTCGGTTTCAAAGAAAAATGATCAAGGCTTTAGAGTTTTCTGCAAGATTTAGACTGATTTCTTATCTACTGTGTGATGGGGAATGTTGAGGAAGGGACAGGGCCAGCCCGGAGCAGGTCTGCCTCAGATGGGGCTGTAGTGTGTGGGTCCTTGACTGTGTGCAGGAAGGATTTCGCAACACGAGTCCAGGTGGGTTTGCGAGTATGTGTATTAGTGCTGGGGTCAGTGAAACAAGGGGAGAACTTAGGGCAGAAGAAACAACAGGGAGAGCCTAGGCGGTGCTCTGCTTTGGCCTCTGGAAATGTTACACGAAAAGGTGAGCCTGGGTGGGGCTGCTTTAGCTCCCTGGGAAGTGAAGGTCATGGTGATAGAAATGAACCTGGGCACGGCTGCTTTTAGCTGGGAAGTGAGAGAAAAGGGGGCCTTGGAGACAGGATCAGGGGTGAGCCCGGGTTGAGCTGCTGCTGCCTGTTGCTCCCCTGGCTGCAAGTCTTGTGGGGACCCTTAGAAATGAAAACTTCATGCCTGGGAAGGGACAGGAGCGTGCTCTAGAGCAAGCTGCACTGAGTCTTTGTCCTGAGGGCTTTTTAATCCTTTTTTTTTTTTTTCATGCCAGGGAGAATCTTTAGAGGACGGTTTCAGTACACTATTCATTAGCTTTCCAGGTGCATTTTTAATATGCTGATGCATTGAAATGAGTGTATAGGGAGGGAAGTTTTGGATTATCCTTTGGTCTGTTTTACTTTTATCTTAGGTCTATCTGGCTTCAATGAGGTTTTTGTTATGTGTTCCCCAACATCATCTGTCCTTGGGTTCAGCTGGAACATGTGGCATTAACTGGGTCTTTGTTCTCCATTTTCCCAGGCCAGGGTGATGTAAGCTACTTATTCTCTGGCGAGGGAGGGGAGGTAGAAACCATTTGCTCTCAGGTGTCCTTGATTGGGGAAGATAAGGGCTTGCGATTCACAAGCTGCAAGCTGCCCAAACTGTTGGGCCTTGTTTAGTTTCCCTGTCTCAGTTTCCCCGTTCCACTTGCCCAGGGACTTTCCTAGCTCCTCATTGTCCTGCTGCAGTAATAATCTATGCCTTTGCACAATTTTTTATGTTTCAGGTCTCCTACCCACACTTTGTCACCTCTGATTTTCCTCCTTGCCAAAAAGTATTGTTTGATTTTATATTTATGAGTTATAGCTTTTATTTCACCCCTTTTTCAAAGCGATCTTTTTCCATCTGAGGCTCCATCTGCTGATTGATCCTGATTTCCCCATTGAACCCCCCCACCACACACACACACACTCTCAACCTTTTCCAATAGCATTTTGAACCATTTCATCCCATCTTTCATGTTTTTGCCATTACTTAGAGAATAGGTAAGCGTTGGCTCACGATAACTTTTAATAGCCTTCAGTGTCAACCCCAACTTCACTAGCAAGGAAGAGCTAAGGTGGCTCCATAGCAACCACCAATTTGCTTATTCTTTCCAAAGTTGGCACTTTGGTCTCTATGCTGGAGAATTATAGGAGAAATGTTTTAAGTGTTACTGTTCTTAAGACTGTTTTTTGAAAGTTTTCATTATATAGTGGAGACAATGAACCGGACTTGGTTCATTGAATGAGTCTCAACTGGATCACTTACTAGTTTTGTTGTCTTAGGCGCCTCATTTGACTCTTCAATCCTCAGCACTCAGCATTTAAACCGCATAGCACTGCCCAGCTTGTTGCTGTAGGGGGACTGTTTCTAGGGACGATTGAGCACTGTGTGAAGTGCTCCATAAATAGAAGGTAGTGTGTGTTCAGCCAAAGTAGAGCTAAGAATTATATACTCTGGTCATTCTCCGTCATTCTTAATACTTTAATTTCTATACTTCAGCATTTTTCAATTCTTTCTGCTCATAATTCTCAGTGCCATATCCCGTTTCTTTTTCTCAGTCTCTCCCCCCGAGTTCTCAGAAGCTAGTCCCTGCTTCAGGTTTCATTTAGCATTTTGCTAGTGCCCCGGCCAGGCAGTCCTCCAGCCCTGCCCAGGCATTCTTGGTGGACAGCACCTCAGACGTGGTGAAGGACATGACTTGGCCTGACGTTTCAGCTCTCCTTGCTCCCATTACTGGCCTTGAGTCCAGGCTTAGAATTGTGATGTGCTTTGGTCCGTGGGATCTCAACAGATGTGTGGAAGCAGAGCCTTGGAAGTTCTGTGTGTGACTGGGTTTGCTCTCCTGCCTTTCCATGCCATTTGAACGTGCCCAGATTAGGCTGCTGGTTTCAGGAGGAGGAAGAGGGGTCCCGCCACCCCAGGTGAAGCTAGTCTATATCACCCAATAACCAGCTGACCCTGGATATGTCAGCATTCCCTGCCAAGATAGTAGAGCCCCCTAACTGACACCCCAAGAATGTGAGCACAAACATTTATTGTTGTCTGCTTCTCAAGTTTTGTGGTTGTTTGCTACATACTTTAATTGCAGTAATAATAATAAAAAAATACCAGATATGACAGATGTCATACCCTTTGAGTCTATCTTTAAGAACAGTAGTCTCAGAGCTTATGATCCTGTAAAAGTTTCATAATTGGGAAAGCTGAAGTTTCATAATTAGTAGTGGTCTAGGGAGGTAATAACTAAAAGGCTATTAAATATATTTTATTTTTTAAAATATATTTTTATTTATTTCAAAGAGGAAAAGAGAGCTAGAGAGAGATAGAGATATCAACATTTTATTTTGATTTTGTTTAAATAAAATTTTATTGATTTCAGAGAGGGAGAGAGAGAGAGAAATCTCAAGGATGAGAGAGAATCATTGATTGTCTGCCTCCTGCACACCCCACACTGGGGATTGAGCCTGCAACTTGTGCATGTGTCCTGACCAGGAATGGAACTGTGTGAACTTCTTCCTGGTTCATAGGTCAATGCTCAACCACTGAGCCATGCTGGCCAAGCTTATTAAATATATTTTAAATGAACATATTCTTCAACATGAATAGCTTCCTATGGAGGGCACCCCATCTCTTGAATCACCTTTATCATTTATTAAGAAGAAATGACTGGGCATTGTGGTTTGCTGAGGCAGAATCTCATACAAGTGTTAATGCTATTCAGAACACATCACTTCAAAAGTTTTGTATGGAACTTCTTAGTCTAACATTGACTGTATTTTCGCTTTTATTTCCCTCTTTTCATTTTCAGCAAAATTCTTGTGTAACTCTGGCCTCTTTACAAATTATCACAGCACTTACAGACACATTTTTCCAGACCTGTTCTCTGGTCTGTGCATAATAAGTTAAACATGGATGATTTCTCTGTCCAGCATTCATAGACTCACTCATGTGGTCTACAGAAGGGGAGAGTAATGCATGGTTGCTAGTGGAAAGACAATATTTGAAGTACTAATGGATACTCACCTACCTCTATTGGCTTTTTAATCCCACGATTCTGCCCCACTTCACTATGTCAGAGACATGTCAGGCGGGCATTGCACATGGTGGGGCAGGGAGTTCATAGGACAGTGGAGGTTGTCAAGAGGACAGAAACATGTCAAATCCCTGACTTTTAAAGTTAAAAGTTTCAAGTTATCTTTTGATATTTTTCCTTTATCTCTCCTTTCTGTCCCCTCTCCCTCACTAGATAAAGATGCTCCCAGCTGAAGAGAGGGAAGGAAGTTGGAAACTGAAAAAAGAAAAACAGTCACTGGTTTTAGGGCAGAGTCCCCACTTTGGGCCAACTCCCAAGTAATGAGCCAAGCAATGGCAGAGCCTCTAAGACAGACCACTGGATTAAATGCACCAGTTGGGAGAGCCAGAGCTGGAGCAGACACTGCTACAGCGTACTAATATTTGGGCCCCATTCTCCTGGGCACATGGGCATTGTTGTTTTCCCTCTCCCTCAAAGAGCGCCATGATTTTGAGACTTTGCCAATAAACTGTTAATGGAAGTGGCATGGGTCTTTTATGTATTCAAGCATCTAATTGCTGGTGCTTCACTATCCAACCTGCTTCTTATCTTGTGTCTGGAAGAATGAGCCAACACATGAAAGACAGATATGTGGACAGTGTTCTGGACTTCTCATGGATTTTATTTGAGTAAGGAATGGCATTGTGTTGATCTTTCGGATTTATTTCTACAGCATAATCTACCCTGTCCTCAGTAGGTTAAGTGTTCTCTTTCCCATCTGGATGGCTAGAAGGGAGGGAAATTGTAAAGACTCTCATGCCATTCAGCAGTGGAGTAGAGAAGACCCCATGGGGTACCAGGGGTAGAGAGGGCTTGCTGACATATTCTAATTGCCTCATTGTCCCAGAGAGATGAGGGATAGTGACTGAACTTTCCTCATGTCCTGAACAAGGATGCATATTTTTGCAGAGAGAGAAATCTGGACATCCAGAAGGTCCTAAAGGTCATGACAGGGATGCAGCTATAGGTGGTGGCCTGGGTTATCCAGTCTGAACCAGAGGAGTGTAAGCTCATTTGGAGCATGACAGCACTAAAAACTAGATATTATGGTTGCCATGTATCAGCGGTGTCAGCTCTGGACAACCACAGAAATACTTCCTCACAGGGACTACCTTACTGTGGTGTGAACACTCCACATAGACCCAGCCCCAGAGAGAAGAGAGAAAGGGGAAAGTCCATGATTTGATTGAGTATAGTACTGACATAATTTAGAGAATACAGAAGTGGTTAACTTAAAATGTAAAAGTGATCAGATTCAATTTTCTACTAGGAAACATGAGGGATAGACTTTACTTCAGTTAGAAAGAGAAAGCTATATTTGCAAGTCTGAGCTCATGGCTATGAAAATCATACATATCTCATATCTTTGTGAAAGGACTGAACTGAGCAGAATTTGAAAAGAATGGAGATTTAATGAGTTTACAGAGGAATATAAAGCCATGCTATTTTACAACTTGGTTGTGGTTGTTGGAGGTGAGGAACTACTGTCTGCCTCACCCAATTAGAGGCCCCTGGGCTTCTTGGGAACCTGGACCTGACCACTACCTCTGGACACTGGACTGTACCTACCCAACTGTCCCTATGTGGTCACCCTCTGGGCTCAGGCAGGCCTCTGGCCAGGTGCTGGCTGCCTCACGGATAAAACCATGGGATCAGGCCACTTTGCCAAATGATTAATCTCTTCAGTCCATAACAGTGGACACTAATGTTCAAAGTGTCAAATTCTTTTGTTGGTTAGTGCTTTCTTATTGACATAGTCCTTCCCCACCCCCAATTTAAAATCCGCACATGAGATTAAGATACACACAGAGATACAGAACATCATTCATGTCATGCTACTCATTTGATAAGTACTCATTAGAAATAGAAAATTCAGTTGCAAATGCTCTTAGATTAACTGGTTAAAATCACCCTACAAATGCCAAGAATGTGGCAAAAAAGAAAAATAGCATGCCTAGGGTGGTGTAAAATCCCAAAAGGAGTCGAATCATGAACCAACTGTTTGTAGGCATATTAACATGGGGCCTTTATTAAATCTGCTTAACAACTTCATGGGGAAGATTTACGTACACCGATAGGTGAGAAAACTGAGATGCAGAGAATAATTTCTTCAATGTTATGTAACCAGGGAAATAATAGAACTATTTTTTTTGTTTTGTTTTTAATTGTTAAATCTGGGCTCTTTTTACTTATCACCTTTCTGCATAGACTTTATACCACCTCGTGTGGTGGTTTGGACTCCTTCCTGTTGTTGGTGCCCCTGATAGCTGAGATTGCTTTAGATAGACTTAGGAGAATATTATCTAAGTTTTTACTTTTTCTTGGCTGCACTGTGGTGTGTCAGGGGAGCTTTAGATGCTGGGTTCGGGAAACAAAATCTGCATTTCTGTTTGCTTACTAATAAGTCAGAGGTTGCTTACTAGTAAGTCAGAGGTTCCAGTGTACATTACAATCATGGAAAGCTTACAAACCCTCCTGATACCTGGGCCTGCTTTGGTCCAGTTACATTGGAATCCCTGGGGTTTGAGCCTGAGCATTTGAAAACGACCCCAGGTGATTCTAACCTGGTGCTGGCCTAAGAACCACTGGCTTAAGTTAACATTTCAACACGTTGAAAATTGGATTCTAACAAGAGAAAGCAATTAGCACAGGTGCTAAGTCGTGCTAAGCAATCTGTGATATCCAAACAAGCAATCATCAGTGGGAGGTAAAGAAACGAACTCTAATCAGTCCTTAAGAGGAACCTCTGGGATCCACACCTCAGGATGTTATTTCGGAATCTGAGAAATGAATGAGCTCTCAGTTTCAGTACTGGCATCGAAATATCTTATCATTTCAGATGTTTAAATGGACAGAGGGGAAGTGAAGGAGGAAACTCGTGGGGACTGCTGCTCTGGAAGTTTCCTATGCTTTCCCTTTGTGAAGCAGTGCGATCAGGAGTGCGCTGTCTGCATAGCAGCAGAGGTGTAGTCGGAGAGGAAGCCTCCTGTGCCCGGCACGTGCTCAGTGCTGGAGGCACAGTGAGGACCCGACATATATCACCGGTGACCTTAAAATAACGTGACTGATGCCACACAATACATTTAAATGACTCCCTAAAGTCGTGTGTTACAGGTAATCCTGGTAGGACACCCTCGATGCAAAGTGATTGTTACATACCTCAAACCATATTAAAAATTGTGGGAAAAAAATCTGCTATCATTTCCTGTCTGTTTCCCATATCTGTGCCTCCATTGAATACCAGCTCATTTCAGTTTTACCTTTTCAGTGTTACTACATTCATCCTCTTCTCTTTATCCTCAGTGTCTTCAGTTTACGCATTTCTTTCCTGGACTAAAGAAATGGACTTATACCTGCTTCTAGCCTTTTCTCATCTAGCCACTCCCAGGCCAGAGACACCTTAGGATGGCTCCCCAGTGTCTGCTGGAGAAGGTTCAGGAGCTAACACGTGGCATCGCCTCACCCTGCAGCTGTGCTTCTCAGACTACCCTCCTCGGGCAGCTCGTTAGAGATACGGAGTCTCAGAGGCTCTGCTTCATGCCAGTTGAAGAGAACCTGCATTTAACAAGATCCCTAGGTCATTATTGGTGCGTACAATCAAGTGTGGGAAGCACTTGTATGTCACAGGTCTTTCATGAGCTGGCTTCTGCCTGCTTTTCTTCCTTTCTTCCGGCCATTGTGAGTTCCAGAAACATCAAACGTACCTCGGAGGGACTGTCCTTTTCATCACTGTCCTCTTGGCAAATACCAGCTTGGTCTTTAAAGCTCTCTCTGGAGCACCTTCCTTTGTGAAGTTTTCCATGTCACTTCCCAGACAGTTAATCCTGCCCTCGTCTGACTACTTCTACTGTGCATGGAACACTCTCGTGTTGGAATTGCTTCTTTACCTGTTGCTTTTGTCCGCCCGCCTGGTAAGTGCCTGAAAGCAGGGCTCATGTGTCTCTCACCTCAGTTTCTCTGGTTTGCTGTATAGGGCCGGCCACTGGGCACTCAGTTAGCATTTCAAATTGATTGCTCAGAAGTTGGTGTGATAGTGGCCTTTACCTGCAGATGTAATTCTGCTTCAGCCTCTGGATGGTCATGTCTGAAGAGGAGGATTCTTAAACTCTCCCAGTCCTTTCATTTGCTTCAGTAAAAACCAGTGAGCATCCGTGTTTTTCCCATGTAATAGTGGTCCTTTTCATCCACAGTGCCTTTAATTTGGCCCAGCTTTCTGATCTGGGCTTCTCAGTCGGATCTCAGTTTTATAACTTGGAGTTGTAGGATGGCTCCAGCATCAACAGACACGTGGGGAACGGCCAGCCAGGGGTCGTGTCCTCACCGCCTTGGGGATGGCGGCTCACTGCCCCTTTCTTGCTACCCTTGGACACTGGATCCCTTGGTCAGGGTGCTTAGGGTTTCATCTGCCTACACACCCAACCTCCTGCTTTTTCTAAGATTCTCTGCCTGGTGTGTGAATTGTCTCTCCTTTTGCTCCCTCCATAAACTACCCAACTTATCCCAAAGATGGGGTTTAGCATATAAAAATAGCGGATGCCCAGTTAAAGTTAAATGAAGAATTTTTAAATATATATGTTGCAGATTTTGCATGGGATGTACTCATAACATAAAGAATGATTTGTTATTTATCTGAAATTCAACTTTAACTGGTCATTCGATGTTTTATGTGGCTACTCCCCCACAGGCTTAGTGTTTGTAAAACTCACACCCTTTATCCTCCCGGAAGTGAGGAAGTCGAATAGTTACCAATTTGAAGGAGAAAGGGAGAAATCCAAGCGGACACAGTCATATATTAAGATTTCTTGATATTATCCAGTCAGAATAACTATGTTGAGTGAAAAGCATGCAAAGGAAACTCTTTCGTGGTATATAGATACGCTGGTAATCTTTCAAGAGTAAGCTGTATTTTTAATGACGTTGTTGGTTTCAGTAGGGTTGGGAGGGAGTAGAGAAGCAGGTAAGAGGGAAAGTTATGGAGTCAACCTCTCGTCCCAATCCTGACTCCACCACCAGTTGTGTAGCATCAGCAGGTCACTTCTTTTTCTGGGCCTCTGTTTGCCTGATTTGTAAATAGAGGTAATAATTGTATCCACCAAACGGGTATTTTATGAGGATTAAATGTTATACTATCCCTACTACCCCACCACTAAATGGCTATCTCTGATCAGTGTGCAGAGCATGCCCACAGGAAGCCATCTGGGGCACACTTGTACATTTGAGAGGAATGGTATGGTTAGAGCAGGACTTTCTGTTTCTTGTCTTTCTCTTTTTTAGTTAAACCGGGGGTGGGGAACGTCACTTGGTCTGGCCCTGCCAAGGAAACCACAGGCAGGACTCAAAATTCAATAAATCCAGGAGGTCTTTTCATAGCACCATAAATTTATATTAAGTGAATTATATTAAGCAATTGATGTTATAAATATACAAATGGCCCTTGGCAGAAAAAAGGACCCCCACCCCTGATAAAGTATAGTTAACATACAATAAGGGTCTTTGGACACATGAGTGATATAAATGTTGCCCTCAGAGATTTGGAGAAAAACCCGCTGGTCTTCCCTAGCCCCGTGGATTGACACTGGCGTGAGTGTCGTGTAAGACAGTCTGCACAGAATTAGTGCTGTATTCCCTAGATCCAAGTGAATAGACTCTTCACATGTATTCAGGGGCTTGATCAAAATGGAATGGTGTTTTTAAGTGGGAATGATTTTGCTTTTTAAGAAGTGTACTGAGCACAGGGTGGAGGAAGTAGAGGAAATGACCCCAGGGCTCTATGGCTGTGTTAACCTTATGTTCTGAATAAATTTTTAAAAAGACAGATGTACTGACAAGGGAGTATGAATTTTAAATGCATGCTAAAATGTATTCATTTGAAAAATTTTAAAATTAAATTAGTAAGTCTCTTTTATTTAGAATTTTAGAAACTTAATCACATAAGTAGTCCTCCATACTTATAGAAGGCCATGAAGATAAATACAGTAGGGGGGAAAAATCTAATATAGACATAAGTGCTATAAATATTTTCTTATGGATATTTATGTGATGTTTTAAAAAACTAGTATATCTATATAGTATGTAAATAACTAGTAACCATGTATATATTACATATACATACATATGAAACCAGCAAGCTATCTTATATAATTTTTAGCTAATTCTATCATTTGGTCTTATAAATATGTTATTTTTATATGTAAAGGGTATTAATGCAGAAGAATATAGTACATGAATTCTGAAATTCATGGCTAATATACAGGTGAATTTGATCATCATATTTCAAATGATCTGCCTAATATTTTAACAAGTAAGAAAAACAGTAAATTTTTCACAAAATAGTATATCAGATGGCCATGGTTTAGTGATACTAAAAAGTAAAAGCAGCTATCATTACTTAATATTTTGTTAAATTTTAATACCCTGGCTCATTCATTTATTCACTTATTTAGTTATTTGATCAGTTTTTTAATTATCATTGGGGACATTATAGGCACTATAGCTCAATAGCGTAAAGAGATCAAAATCTAATGGGAATGGTAGATAATAAACACACATTAATATATAATTGAAATTGTGATAAGAAAAATAATGTGTTTCGATTATAGGTAATCTACTCTAGAGATTAGTGATCAGGCTTAGACATAATACAGAAATAAGAAGTGTCATACGTGCTGCTCAATATTCTATTTCTTACCAAAAACTGTTGAGGAAGGTTTTATTATATCTATTTTACAGGTGTAAACTCACCAAGTTATGACACCATAAAATGAACTTGTGATGTGGGAGAGCCTTTTGAAGTGTGTGCTTTGGCTGTTTGTACTGCTTACCCATTAGGGTCATTTCTGTCAGGGGGGTTTGTGTAATGCCAGAGCAGTCTGGAGGGATCCTTGGAGGTTGAAGTCCCCAGTTGTCCACAGTTAGTAGTGGCAGGCTCCATTCAATCTTCCTTGCCATCTTTTATATATTTATTTAGGATACTACACCTCTGTGAACTATTGACCTTAGGATGTATTTTAGAGTATTTGGAGCAATGGATACATGAATGTGCTTTAGGATCTTTCACAAACATGAGTTTGGGCAGATGAGCTTTTAGAAAGATTGGAAGAATGAAGTTCAAGGTCATTGGTGCTGCCAAGCAAGTACCTAGGACATGGTGACTACTATGTAGGGCAGATCCAAGTGCTTAAACAGTCAATGGGACAGCAGACAGAATCAAGATCCCACAGTGGGGTAAATAAATCCCCAAACAGGAATCTAAAGATGTGCACGTGAATAGGTGCTCATATCTTATTGGCTTAGAGATGGGTCTCAGAGCACATAGGACCAAGACTGTAATCTTTTCTGAAAACTGCCCATCTGCTTTAACACAGAAGTTTGAACAGTTGATGAGGGTCCAGTCTTTTGCTCTGTATTACATCATGATCATAGTGTATTTATATTAGACAGTTTCCAAAATGAGTATTTTTTATTGTCTACCATGGTTGTAAATAAAAAGGAAAACCAATCAATACTGTCTCTAATTGAATCATGTACAGTGGGGCCTTGACTTACGAGTTTAATTCGTTCCGAGACTGAGCTCGTTAAGGAGCTCATTAACTCAAATTACTCTATCAACTCAATGCAAAAAAACGGCGGAGAGACAGCTGGTATCTCAAAAAACTCGTTAGTTGGGACACTCGTAAGTCAAGACCCCACTGTATCTTCTTAAATCCCAGGGAGACAGAATAATTAATTGTAAAGGACTATTGGCTGTAAACCATCTAAATGTGGCAGGATATTTTTCTATCTGGGGAGGTTTGGGATATGTGGCTATGGATGACATGAGAAGAAGCTGCTGATACTTACTTTGGCCAGAACACTTACCCCTGTGGAGAAGGCTCCTCCATAGTAGAGGGCCATCCTGCTGCCATACTGAGGGCTGTCACAACTAGGTAATAGCCACCAGCCCCACCGGAATGGCTTACAGGCAACTGAGATACCTTCGTCTGATGCTGAAATGGTTAATTAAATCCTTAGGGTTGTGGTGGGGGACGGACAAGGGGCAGATGTGGGAGATGTCTTAGAAACCCTCTAAGCCAGTGGTTCTCAACCTTCCTAATGCCGCGACCCTTTAATACAGTTCCTCATGTTGTGGTGACCCCCAACCATAAAATTATTTTTGTTGCTACTTCATAACTGTAATTTTGCTACTGTTATGAATCCTAATGTAAATATCTGATATGCAGGATGTATTTTCACTGTTACAAATTGAACATAATTAAAGCATAGTGATTAATCACAAAAAAACAATATGTAATTATATATGTGTTTTCCGATGGTCTTAGGTGATCCCTGAGAAAAGGTCGTCCGACCCCCAAAGGGTCGCGACCCACAGGTTGAGAACCGCTGCTCTAAGCCTTCTTGCTTGTCAAGGGCGGGGAGGTGCCAATGGGATTTAGACTACAATTGGCCTTGAGAACTGAAAGACCTTTTATTGATACAGCCTGTAAGGCAATTTGAGGTTAGCTGGTAGAATTTACAGTGTCACAGTGATTTTGGACCCGGAGAAGTTAAAAAGGGAGCAAATTCCATCCCAGGTCACCTTTAAGTAGACATTATAAATCTTTAAGTACAAGTTACCTTTTTTCTCAGTAGGAGGCTGGTGAAGATGGCTAAGGTGACTCCCATTTATAAGGAACTGGTGTAAAAGATCCTGGCAGCTATTGTTTCTGGTAATCAGTTTCTTCTCTACTATCTTGAAATGACTTTCAAGGTGGTTCATAAACAGGCTTACAGTTATTTTATGGCTTGCAGTTTAATAGTGTCTCCCCCGCCTGAATTTTGTTCAAGATATTTTACCTCACCAACAGGGCTTAATTTATTGGCTCTATTAGACACAGATACCAAGTTAGAGAAAGCATTGAAGTGGGGGTTTTCTTACTACATAAAGTATACCTGCTGGATTTTTAAGCTCAAATCTGTTACCTTGCATTTGTCAAGAGCCAATTCTATATTTTTAAAGAAGAAATGAAATGTGTTTTATTCTAGTACCTAACCTAGTACCAGTATGTAGTAGTCATCCAATGAACATTTGTTTATTGACAGTTCATTTTAAAATATATTGGTTGCTTCCTCTGACCAAACATGTCTTACATCAGTGCCTGTACTTCTGTGGATGAATGAATAACTACTCAAAGTCATTATTGCCTATGGAGGAAATACCTATCCACAAATAATGGTAGAACTAAATGGAATAAAGTGAATGTGTGATGGTTAAAAACAAAGCTTAGTTGAAATGCTGAGGAAGGGAGAAACCAAGATGGCGGCATAGGTAAACACCGGAAATTACTGCCTCCCACAACAAATTCAAAAATACAACTAAAAGACAAAACAGACATCATCAAGAACTACAGGAAGGTTGGCTGAGTGGAAATTCTACAACTAGAAGAAAAGAGAAAAGCACACTGAGACTCAGAGTAGCTTCAGAAGTAAAGTGCAGATGTACGGAGGCGCACATGGAAAGGGCTGGCAACTGAGGACACGGTTGTCTTTTTCAACCATGTCCTCAGCAGGGAGTCTCAAGCTTCTGACTGCTCTAAACTCCAGTTCCAGGCGAGTCTCTGGGGACCCAGACTCACACAGGGAGAAACTGGACTGTTTGGCATTGGTTGGAACTCAAGGGCGGCTTTCTCTCAGAGGTGCTTGCAGTGATTACCTGGACACTGAGACATGGGGCCTCTTAGGGCAGGGTTGAGGAGCATCCATAGCTGTTTGCTCCACCCTGTTGATTCCCTGAGACTCCACCCCACCCAAGCTGCAGCAGAGCCTTTTGCATATGAAAGGCCTGGCCCTTTGCAATCTGAAAATTACCTAACAAACTGCAGCCGGGCCAGACAGACCCAGAACTTCCAAAAGAAGGCCCAAGGCCCCACAGCAGCTTGTATTGCTTCACAGCTGGGCCTGATCTGGGCACCTCCAAACCCCAAACAAGGAAGGGGAATCTGCAGATCTCTCCATAGCTCCTGCTGGGTAGCCTCAGGCAGAGGCTAAATTAGCACCGCCTTAGATCCAAGAGCCAGTGTACCCAGTGGTCAGAGTGGGACCATCCAGATTACAACTCCTCAGATCCATAAGGGACACACTCAGGGGGCAGACTCAGTGAGCACCAATGCCCCACTGAAGCAAGTCTTGCCCCTTAAGGGTGTCTTAAGCACAGAAGTTATCTCACTGTAGACACAGCTGATTCTCACAGCCAATTGGCCTGGAGGTCAATTCCTCCCAGTGATACCAACAGCAATCAAAGCTTAACTACAAGAAGACTGTGCACAAAGCCCACAAAGGGGTGCACCAAGAGTGTCCACTTCAGGTAATTGGGGAGGCTGAGCCACTGAGCCCTATAGGATATCTAGCATAGAAAGCCACACTATCAAACACAGGGAAGCATAAAAAATGTGGAGACAAAGAAACAGGTCACAAATGACAGAAATGGAGGAAAGCAAACCACTGGATATAGAGTTCAAAACCACATTTATAAAGTTTTTCAAGAATTTTCTAGAAACTGCTGATAAATTTAGTGAGACCCTCAAGAAATCTAGTGAGACCCTCTAGGATATGAAAAAAGACCACCTAGAAATTAAGCATACACTGACTGAAATAAAGAATATTATACAGAGTTCCAACTCCAGACTAGGGGATCCTGAGAATCAAGTCAAAGATTTGAAATACGAAGAAGCAAAAACCACCCAATTGGAAAAACAAGAGGAAAAAAGAATCCAAAAATATAAAGATAGTGTAAGGAGCCTCTGGGACAACTTCAAGCATACCAACATCTGAATTATGGGGGTGCCAGAAGAAGAGAGAGAGCAAGATATTAAAAACCTGTTTGAAGAAATAATGGCAGAAAACTTCCCCTACCTGATGAAAGAAATGGACTTACTGCTGGGGTCCAGCCCCAGCAGGTCCAGGGGTCCCCAAAGGTGTGGACAGAGTCAGCGAAGAAGGAATGACACGGAGACAGCGTTCAGTTGATCAGCAG